CATTTAGCGTTTAAGGAGGGGATAAGGGATAAGGGGAAAAGGGAAAAAGGGATAAGGGGGAGAGGATAAAGGAGGGGATAAAGGAGGGGATAAAGGAGGGGATAAAGGAGGGAACTCATTTCTTTATTTCCTTAAGTTTTTGTTCCAGGGGTACGTCCCCAACCATTTATTACACCTATATTGGAATTTGGGCCTGTATATTAGCTACTGAAACACACGCTAGCTTAGCTGGCCGTGCTACATAGTTCTAAACTAATAAAGCACGTTAAAAGAAAAAAAAAAAAAAAAAATACTTCCAGAATTCTAATTAAGAGAGCTTATAGTAATAAGCCTTTTCCTGCTTTCTAAAATAAGCCTGAAAAATAGGCCTTTATTATAATTTCAGCTTTAATTTAACCGGATCTAGTTAAGAAAAATAGAGCTAATTTAATAAAATCTAATAAGAAAGCTATTAGTAAAGCTAATAGAACTAGTAAGACTAGTAGAACTAGTAAGACTAGTATATAGACTATAAGAAGACTACTATTTTTATACTTCCCTTACTTTCATACCCACACTTCACCCACCTTTAGAACTCACTCAATATATCTTAGCCCTTTGGCCCCAGGCTCTAGAACCTACTATAAGTAGAGCTAGAATAGGCTAAATGGCCCCCCCTGATCCCCCGGGCTCCAGCCCCTCTTTCATTGACTTTCAAGAGCTCGGAGAGCTTCTAGAGGGCCCTAGCGAGGAACTAGAGCTACTTACTAGCTCCCTACTAGCCCGGTTTAGCCAGGGAGCTCAATTCGCATTCGATTTAGCTACAAATCCTATCTCTTTAGACGAACTTGCAGCCTCTTTTCCTTAGCCTAATTCAGCTAGTACGGCTCAACTAAGCCGCTTCCAGAACAGGCTAAAGCGTGGCCCTAGCGCAAGTAATATTAATAGTAATATTAATAAGGAATACCAAAACTACGGAAACTATTACTAATACTAAAATTAAGCTTTGAATAAAGCTAAATTACTAATTCGTTAAGCCCGGAACTTGATAGTCAAAGCCATTACTATTACTCTATTATATGACTAGTAATCTCGACTACTAGATTTAGTAGAAATCTTCAGGGAATATACAGAATTCGGCTATATCTGCTATACTAGTACTTTACTAGCTTTATAGGTAG